ATTCTAGGAAATGTTTAATTTTTCCTTTGATTTCTTCTGTGATCCAGTGATTATTCAAAGAATTCCAGTGTTTAATCTGTATGCGTCTGCATGATTTCTGTGTTTCCTTGTCATTGATTTCTAATTTCATTGCACTGTGAGCTGATGATACACATGGTATTATTTCCTCTATTTTGCATTTCTTTAAGCAAGCACTGTGGCCCGGTATGTAGTCTATTTTGAAGTAAGTTCAATGTGTAGCTATGAAGAATTTTTATTTTGTTTTTGTTGGATTGAACACACTGTAATTTATTAAGTCCATTTTTAAAATGTTCAACTGATATTCGTTTTTGTCTAAATCAATAAATTTGTGAATGTGAGGCTTTTATATACCCCACTATGATCATGTTGATGTTTATCTTATCTTTTGTGTCCAGAGGTATTTTTGTGTAATTAGGTATACCAGTATTCAGCGCACATAGATTTTCAACCGTTATCTGTCCCTGTTGAATTCCTTTTACCAGTATGTAGTGACTCCTGCTTGTTTTCATGCTCCTATGGCATGAACATTATTTTGTATCCTTTGAGTTGTTGTCTATATGTTTCTTTAAAGGTTAAGTATGTTTCTTATATACAGCCTATGATTGGGTGTCTAATTCAATGCTATGGTGGTCATTCATATTTTCTAACATTTTGGTTATTTCTGCTAGCTTTCTATTTGCATGTGAAATTCATGGAACATTTCATTAATAAAGTCCATTATCAATCTAGTTACATCATCTTTCAGCTCTCTGAACACCTTACTGATCTGGTTTTGTTACTTCATCATTTCATAAATTTTAGCAATTAAAAAAATGTCCTCTTTATTGATACCCACTGTATCAGCTTTGGTGCAGTTTGGAGTTTTTTGAGGCATGCTTCATTCTCTCTCCTCCCCGCCCCGAAGGCTTGGGAAAGACTTTTTTGATAATACGGTAATATGGAGATAATTTTGCTTAATGTTTCCTTCCCAGCAATATGGAGTCAGACATGGTACCATTGCACAATGAGGCCAGCCCTTACCAGCGATATAATCTTGCCTTTGGTTGCTTTTTGATATTTATTTACCTCTTAAACCTACCCAATTTAATAGAATAAGACCTAATTGGTGTGTTGTAAGGAGAGAATCTCTACTAATTACAGCAATATAAACAAATGTAACCATATAACACTCGTGTACATTAAAACTTTTTAATAGTTTCATTCTTTTTTCAATGACTCATAAATACTGTAATATAGAATACTGGGATATGCTGAAAAGTAGACTGGGATGTGGTAAGTTTAGAAAAGAGAAAAAAGAAAGGATAGAACAGAAAAAAGACAAGAAAAGAGAAATAATAATTGAAAGAAACAGGGGAGATCAAGTATTGCTGATGCTGTTTATATTTTGAGTAGTGGGCTGGTAGAGAGAAAGTTTAAGAGACTATTTGTGGGAACAGGAAAAGGGATGCAAAGAGAGGGAGGTATAATTGGTGATTGAGGCAAGTGGTGAGAAAGACAAAACCTGATAATATGTAGAGAGCTTGCATTTAGATCCACACATTTTTGATGGGAGTTATTGAGGCTTGCCCATGAACAAAGTTTCCATATGTATGCTGATGACAGGCAGAAAGGAAAAGAGGGAAGATAAAGGAATAAGAGAAAAAAATAAAGAATAGAAGTGGGGGAAATAAACCAAAAACACCCCCAGGCAGTTGCAAAAACTCTAAATTTAAGCATCCTCACAGTTCTATTTATATTGCAATCTGGGTTTAACTAGGAAGCTCTTCCCCCCACATTCACAAGTCCTGTAGGGAGGGTCTGGTTAGATTTTTAGGTCTTGCACTTTCTTCTCTGAGTATCACTGTGACTTCTAGATGCTTCTCTCCTCACCCTCCTTAGTCTAAGGCAAGCTCCTTCTGGTCTCATAGCTATGATCTGTTCAATTTCCTACCTGTGACTATGGAGACTTGGTGATCTGTATGGAATGATGCCCCATCTCCCTAACTGCAAGCTGAGCTCTGGGCATGGCTAACCAGAGGCTTTTGCCTTTTTCATCAGATCAGATCCTCTCAATTAAACTGTAGAGTAGGTTAGAGTATGGCTGGATTTGCACCCAGTTTTCTGCTGACTTGCATGTAAGCTCTTGAACTCAACTTTCTTTCCTGCACACCAACTTGACTCCATTTCTGTGTTCTCCCTCCACAAGCCTCTGACAAATGCAATGCAAGTCCTCTTCTAGCTGAGTGCCACTCAAGTACTCAGCCTGTAGTACTTCCTTCCTAACTTCTGCAATGAGTCATTTTGCAGCTTGCAACTTATGGGGTGTCTCATGGTGGGTTGTTTGTAGTTAACAGGATATCCTGGGCACAACTCTCCTGGTGTTTGGGGGAAGAATGAGTGTCTATTGCTGGACAATCTATTTATGTCGGTAGGATCTTGCTGTTCACAATTTCTGCCTTCTGGATTAACTCCTGTTCTAAATTCTAATTCAGATCCCTAGTCAGGATATTTCTGTTGTTGTCAGTTTTCCCAAGGGCCCACTGGTGCTTTTTCAGACTTTGTTTTCTGGATTTCAGTTTGTCTGGTGTCCTGGTCAGCAAATACCTTGTTTGCTGTTTTCCTTTTCTCAGAGGGGAGGGTAGGAAGGTTAGGAACTTAATCAATGTGGCTTCTACTGAAGTACAGGCTCCCCTCATCAAGGCATTAGATCCTCTTCCAAGATGGTGTGTATGCAGGACCAGCAGGGTAAAGAGTGTCAAGGTTCAAAGGCAGTCCAGTTTATCTTCCTAAACCCCCAATTCTGGATTTGAATCTGGTGGGTTACTTTCTCACTTACTCTCCCTGTACCCTGGCTTTCTTTGCTGCCACTATTCCCATGTACATCTCTTTTCCCCTGAATGTCTTTGGAGACTCCCTCATACAGTGCTGCCCCCAGTTGGCTCCAATCATATTTTAAGTAGGAAAAATTTCTCACTCAGGATTAAATTTCAAGCATAATGGGACAAAAAAATTCCAAACACATACCAAGGAAAAGATTAATTTTCTTTTGTAGTGATTAAGAATCTCCCTAAAGTTTTTGTCTTAAAGGCAAATCATAGGCAACAATCCTACAAGTCATTCTTAGCCTGTAAATATTAATGTTTTTATGATGATTTAAGCTATCTACATATATAATTATCATAAAAGCCTAATATATAAGAGTTCTAATTTTTGTGAGTCCTCCACAGTTGCAAGCTGCAAAATGACTCGCAGAAGTTAGGAAGGAAGTCTAACTAAAATCAGTGTGTTCTTTAACTTTCTGATTGCTGAGAAGCCTCTTAACACAAGTATGTTTTGTTACTTAATCTACACTATACTGACTATTGGTAATAATATGTACAATTTATATAAAATCCATTTATATTAAACAAGTCATGAACACAGTTCAGATAATTCTGAGAATTAAATTTTAATGAGTGCATAATGCAAATAATCATACTGCCCAATAATTATGAAAAGACTAATGTATAGCTTAGAGTTCAGATTTGGATTTACTGTACTATCATCATTTTATGTTACTATACACAAATATAGACAACATAAAACTAAAAGTAAAATTATTATAACTTTTACCTTAAAAGCCCAAATACTTTATAAGGCCTCATTTTTTTATTATGAACTGAATCTTTATGGGTACATTTTAGATATACAATATAGTAACATTTATCATTGATATCTTATACATGACATATCTTGGTTCTTATTTTTTCCTATTCCCCTGGCCTCCCTACCCCCCTTCACCATTCCCTATTTACAAAGACTTTGTTTCCTTTTTTACTTTTCTTATTTTTTCTCTTTCCTTTTCTTTCCCCTACCCCTCCCATTTGCCCAATACCTTTAGACCTTTTCCTCCTATTACAAAATATCAATTATACATTTTGACCCTTATTTACATTTTTAGTTTATCACACTAGAGAAACTATATAGTATTTACACATATGTGTCTTATGAATTTCACTTAAGAGCATGTCCTCAATGTGCATCCACTTAACTATAAATGTCTCTAGTTTCTCATTCTTTATGTGTAAGTAGTATTCCATTTTATTTTTAAAAACACATCTTCTTTATCCAGTCTCCAGTTGATGGGCAATCGGGCTGTTTCCAAGTTTTAGCTATTACAAACTGTGATGGGATAAATATGGGTGAGCATATATCAAGGCCTCATGTTTTCAAAAAGCCAAACTGTTATGCTGATATACATGGAAGTCCTACTGACATTTGTCAAGAAAGAATTGTAGTAAAATTGTATATTATCAGTTTATGATACTAAAATATTTTAAAATTTGATTATTTAACCAGTATAACATAGTGCACGCCCCTTACCAAAAATTTAAAAACTGAAAGTAGGCTTGTTTCATTGTTTTTTAATAAACATCATTATAATGTTTAACCATATACCTAAACTTAATCTAATCTTTTCATTTTATAATATAAAAAACTTTTATTTCATATGTTATAAGACAAGTAAAAATGAAATAAACTAAAAAAATTTAACCGTGTGTTTATAGTACTACTATACTACTATTGTAGTACTGAATAATGAATAAAGCAAGGATAAGAAGACACACACTACATTCTATGGAAGGGTCAGTGTCAACTTCAACATTTAAAACAGTACTAAAACCCCAATGATTACTTCTTCAAACATGACCAATAAAAAAATAAAGAAAATAAAGACACAAAGGAGTATAATAAATTTTGTTATGACAGCTAAATGACTTTGCTTATGAAACAGGAAAGATATTTTGATATTCTCAGATATAAGTTATCAGGCAGATTCTTATTTGGATATAAAATTTTACAAAAGATTAATATATGTTTGATGATACTCATATACTGTGATGCATCATGAGGCATTTATTTCTTAATACTCATATCTGTATAATTTTGAAGAAAATGAATACTATATGAAAACAGGTACCTGAGGAGGGGTTAATTAGGAAATATGTGAAAGATTTTACCTGTCCAACCAGGCAAGCAGACTCTTGGCTGCTCCAATCAGATCCACGACGGACGTCAGAAAGTCATTTGGTAATTTTCGGCTGGTCCTCCCATCATAATGGCCACTCCTTCTCCTTCCTGTTATAAAGTTCTGTAGATTTTTGGCAGATGCATTCAGCTTATGAGACAGAGTTTTTAGATTTTCTGTTTCCAATCCATAGTTCTGAATTATAAAAAAATCATAAATAGATTAAAGTCAATATTTTACTCATTAAATAAATATTTACTGAGTACTCCACTATGCACAGACAATGGAGATATTATTAGAGTTACAAATGAGTAAGACAAGATTCCTGATCTACTGCAGGCCACAGACAAAGTAAGGATTTGGGAAAATGTCAGATAAAGAAACTATAATAAAATGTGTTATGTATCAATATAAATATGGAATGATGTATCCATTATATCTTCAAACTATGGCACCTGATTGTAAGGATTCATGACTTTATTTTTTAAAACCAAAATCTAATTTCATTTATTCATGAAATTATTTATTATAATAAATTTTTGTTTTATTGTCTATTGAATTACTGTATGCAAGGTCATAACAGATAGCACAAAATTTTGTTTACCCAAGGCTAAAAGAAGGATAATCCAACAATAAAATAAGAAAGAAATACACTGCATAAAATATATCCTTTTTTCTGTGTTCTCTACAGAATAACTCATAAGAAATGTCTGTTACAACATGACATCAGGAAAAACTCTGCTTCCTCAGGGTAACTAATACTCTTCCTTTTTTTATAAAATCAATTATGAAACTAAACTATTTTTTGCTACATTTGCTCACATTAAAATTTGAAGCACAACCAAACCAAGCATAGCAACTTATTACTACATGCATCTTTTTTTTTCATCGAGTTTATTGGTACTTTTTAAGTATACAGTACAGTACAGTTACATTTATCATTGGGATCTTGTACCTTTACAAGACAGATCTTGGTTCTCACTTTTTCCCCATACCCTTCACAACCCCCTCCATTTAAAAAATCTTTGTTTCCATTTTTTTCTTTTCTCATATTTTTTCTTTTCTCTTACTTCCTTTCTCCTACCCCTCCTACTTCCCCTACACCTTTAGCCCTTTTCTTCCTATTTCACATTGTCAGTTAGTAATTGCATCTATCCTTTTTCTTCTTTTGTTGTTCTGACTTCAGTATCTGTTAGTATCAATTCATTCTAAATATTTTTGTCTATATTCTATTTTAGAAAGAGGTTATATATTTACCACTTTCAAATAGGAAAGGATTATAGTATCCCATCAGATACTTACAGAAAGTTTTCATAAATCATAATTCAAATTCAAAGCAGCTTATTGTGAATTGTAAAACAGCCATAAGAAAAGGTAGTTAAGATCAAAGGATGTCCTTGATTAATTTAATACTGTATGTATATTATTGTTCTGTATAAAATTAAAAGCATACAACATCATAAAAGCCAAAGAATATTAGAATTTACTTGGGCCTACGAGAGTTAGATTTATCCTCTTTACAGTTGAAGAAAATCATGTATAGGGAGTTTTTTTTATGGTTTGCTTAAAAGATCTCAGTGCTTATAACAGATGGCCTGTAGAAAAAGACTGCACCCCACCTATTGGGGGAGGCCTTTACCACATTCCTTAGCATCAATATTCTACTCTTGTTCTAAGAAAGTTAGTTATAATAACTGGAGCAAATTAAGAACAAAAAATTGTAAAACAGGAAAGAAATAGCAAAATGAATTCAGCTGTATGTCAACAACCACTGGGTATCTACTGCATATGAAATCTATTTGGTTATTTTCCTATGGTAATCTAAGAAATTAATGGGACAAAAGAGAGATGAGAAGATTTTCATGGATAAATATAAAATTATTTATATTACTACTTAAGGATTTAATAGTGATAAAAATAATTCTTTGATGAAAATTTATATTTTTTTGAAATAATATTTTTATGAAGCCATACATTTGCTTTATTTAAAAACAATATATTAAATATCCATTCCTTAATTTGAATTGTGATACACATCTCACAAGTTAAAACATTTCGCTTGTGCAAAGGGAACAACTTTCTATTCAAATTCTATTGCATCTGACCATGGATGGATTTGGGAGATTTTATCTTGTCACTGTATTAAGAAAATGCTCTTATAAGTTTATAAAAGATAGTATCACATAAGTAGATCAGAATAATTTACTATGTAATTAAATCAACTAATTGTGATGCTTCTGACATGCTTAAAAGTATTTTCAGGTTTTCCTTATTTTAAAGCATTGCTCTGAAATACAGAGTACTCACATTATTTTCGTATATTAATTGGTTTAATGAGGAACCATTTGTTTACAAATTATAATAATTTCTTATAGATGCTCAAATTAAAATAGTTTATTAGAGAGACACCTAATCAATTAACTTGGTAACTGATCTTTCATTTCATAGTTATTAGCTTTTATAAAAGATTAATTTAAAATATTTTACAATAGCATCTCAAATTATTACAAAAGGAAAATAATTTTAAAATGATACTCTTATAAATTAAAATCTGAAGTCTAAAATACCTTGAATTCTTAAAATTTTAAGATATTAAAATTATTTCTAATGCAACTCAAGATTTAAGGAATAGAAAATCTTCTGGATAAAACCTAGAAGGGTTCCCTGAGTTCTCCTACCTTGGAAACCACCTAAGGAAATATCCTACATGAAACAGAAGTAAAACATGGAAAAGAAAGAGGAATGCAGTGCAGGAGACAAATAATATATACCAGAAGATGGAGAATTTAATTCTTTAAATTTATACAGGGGTAGGTGTGTAGGTCAAAGTTAGAGTGCTTGTTTAGCACATGCATTGCTATGCATTTTCTATCCTCAGCACCACACAATAATGAAGCCCCAAACACCAACCAACAAAAACAAAACAAGACACCCATTTGTCCTCGTTAACAAATGTAATTAAACTCATAATCCAAAAGCATTTTTTAAAAAATCTGTAAGGGTATCAAAAGAGTTTAGAAGCTCATCTGTATATATCTATTTTCACAGGAGAGTTGGGCTAATCTCTAAGATTAGTCTTTCATCATAACAACTGTCAATTTTAAATACCTCAATTACTGCCAACACATACTTTCTTGCCTTTCATGAAAGTGCATACCTTGTTACACCTCACTAAATTACTAGTAAATCAGTCCCCTGACTCCTATTTAAAGACTCAACAAGTAAATAAAGTGCCCCTTTGCTTTTGGCCAGGAGTACAGTGAGGAGAAACACTTCCTTAACATTTTAGAACAAAGCTTTATTCATTACACATTTGATTTTTACTGGATATGCATAGGAAATGTTGTGTTACTATTGGCATAGAAAGGACTACCTCAAGAAAACAGAATCATGGACCTGAAATGTACTTAAGCTGCTTTCTTTGCCCCAGTGACGACAAACCTTTTAGAGCTTTCAATGATAACAAAGAGCCCACTGCGGCATGCATACGGATTTGCCACCACTATTGTATGTACTTCCTATGTGTTCCTATACTTGGCCACTAAAATGTGTTCCAGTAAAGAGTCATAATTCATTAATTTTTTAGCATAGTCAGTCTAGTCTTAATTGGTACTAGTACTGGTCTTCCTTTATAGTTATACGCATTAAAAATTTATATAGAAAAGAAATTAAGGAAAATATTTAATGTTTTAGAAAATTGATTTGACTAAATCCTCACTAATGGCAAATTCTCACCATTTAAATTATTTTACAATGTCAATGACATTTATTCAGTTCCTACTTTGAATCTGTCATGCAGCAGGTGTTTAGGTTTCTAATACTTTCTTTTATGAGTAATTCCTGAAAGGATTGCCTTAATGAACTTTAGAAAATAAATTATTTTGAAATGAATGAGCTAAGCAATTATATTGCAAAGAAACAAATCACAGCAATTGCAATCATTAAATTTCTCATGCAAAATGCTTATTATATGAATAGTATATAAAGAATGATGTGAAAACTGCTTTTATCCTGTCATAAATGATTCACTTACAGCTCCAGATAAAAGATACACTGTCAAAACAAATTTTAAAGGCTATACATTAAGATATATAAATATATACATATGTGTGTGTGCTCTTCCTCTTTTTATATTCTTTGTTCTCTATTTAAGCATACAAAATGATAACAGAATCATAACTCGAAAGAGTTAATGTGTGTCCAAATTATTAACAGCTTACTTCCTTCTGGATAGCATGGTACAAACAATGTAGTGGATACTTAAATATATGCTGCATGAATGAACAACTGATTAAATAAATCCCTGATTTTTTTCAGCTGCCATAACACTGATTCTCAATCATGACTAACTTCAAGACAAGGCTGATGAAAATATAGCATAGCTTAAAATGAAACAAAAGGAATTTGGTAATTTTTATGTCTTCCTTACACTAGGAAGAGAAACTTAAGAGCTAAAGACTATGTATGCAAGAGAAAAAAATTACACAGTTCTTTGAAGAAAGGCTGGAAGTTTCATTCAGTGAAATATCACTGATTTACTATCATCATCTGCGTACTAAGCACTGGGCAGAAAGCTTAAGAAAAAGCAATGGATTGGACAAAGTTTTCTGCTTTACGGAATCTACTGTGAACTGGAATATCACAGACCCTAAGCAAAGAATGATAATGTAACCCAAGGTACATGTTGCCTTCCTTATTACTTCTGACTCTGTACCAGCCAAATCAATATATTCTAGTTTTCATTTTGCCACTTCATATTCTTTCACAATTCTATCTTTACATATGATGGTTTTTTTTTGCCTAGATAATTTTCTCCAACTTTTTGCCCAGCAACAGCTCCTTATCTTGTAATACTAATGCAAATTTCACCCACTATTTCTGCATCCTTCAGCAGTGTTCTGACTACTTCTCTGGGATTTTCTACATTGTCTACATTGTCATTTAAAGACTTTTGTCTTCCTGTACGTATCTTAGAAGTATAGACTATGTCTTTTTAATCTTCACATTCTTGTTGATAGCATAGTTTGAACATGAATATATAATTGTTGAAAGTTTATATAAATACAATAAATGTAATAAAAAAGTAGAAAGTCTAGTAGAAATCAGAAATAAGACATAGCTTCCCATTCCCAACAGTATAACTCCTAGTATAGTCAACTTATATTGCTGACAGGGCATGTGATCTCCTGATTTTTTTAATGAAATGTAGAAGTAAACCAGAATTCTCTGCTCAGAAAGGTTTTATATCTGCTGCACAAACTAAAAAATACCTTCACTCTGGACTTAGCTCATGTACCAATCTTCTTCAGTGAATATAAACATTATATAATGAAAACATACACTAATAAAAATTTTAAAATCTTCCTGACCATAAAGAAAGGAAGAAAAAGAGGTTAAATATTTGCCCTTTTGGGGAATATGACTGCCACATAAACAGAAAATAAAAGGAATTCGGTGATTTATTTTTTTTTCCTGTACTAAGTTCCAGAAGAACTCAACCACATAATTAAGTATTCAAATGATGCAACATGATAGTGCTTAAAACCAGAACTATAGAAGGATTAAAGTTCAGCAATATGAAGGGATATATCACAACTCCATGTCTTGAACTTAAAAATAGGGCAGACATGTATCTCTGATATCATGCTTTAAATAGGTTTAGTCTTATACATGGACCAAATCCCAAAGCCTACAAGTCTACACTAATTGTATACAACATCAATCATCAAACTCCTTTCCTTTTTCAAACTGGCAATGTGAAAGCACATCACATAAGTGGTTCATTTACAAGGAATCCTGCTTATCGGACATAAACTTCGGATGTCAAGCTCTGAAACACATGTACTAGGTCATGTGCCCATCTCCAGTCCACTTCCATCATACTTCCAGGACCATTCTGACTCAAATTTGAATATTGGTATGCTAGAAACACTGTGGGTTATTACCTCGAGTTCTATCTTTAGGCATGATTTATGAAACCTGATTCAGAAAATAATTAAACTGTATATTCTGGTTTGAATTTACCTCAGAAATAGGGAAATAAAAAGTTCCCCAAACTATAATATGAAAAATATGACAACATTCCTTTGAAAACATGTTGAGCATCAGCCATTATTAGGCATTTATGTTGCACATTACAGATTAATAAGCATAGTTGCTTTTCCTACATAGCTTACCATTTAGTAGAAGAAAAATAATTGTCTCATAAGCAACCATTAATATACGATTACAAAACAAGATGAGGGTTAAGAGAGAACATCAGTGCCTGTGTGTTGGGTGGTGTTTTAGGCGAAGCAAAGGTGAGGAAATAATCAAGGACCATCTCTGAAGAAATGACAGTGAAGGTAAGACTTACATATAAGCTAAGCTTTTCATGAGGGCAGGAACTAGGTCTTACTCACATTTAACAATACAATGCTTTTTATTAACTGATTCTTGAATTATGCTTAATTATCTATACATTTCTTCTTATTTGTCATTATCATCCTCAACAGTTACTATTTATTAAATGTGTGCTGTGTGCCAGGCACTGATCAGATACTATACAAACACAATTTCATTTATATTTCACAACACTTTGAAGTAGTTATCTGCATTTTGGATAAAATAACTATAGCCACAGTAAATTAGTCCATAAGTATCAATAATAGAGAAAAGAGTCAAGAAAAGACATCACATTACACAACTCATTTTTTCTGGATTTACCTCTACCCTCCTTTAGAAATAAGTGGAAGAATTTAAAACCAATCTAGTTAGTGTCAACTTACCTCAACTGGGGGGTGGGTACATACTCAGAATGTCTAAGAATCTTGCAGGAGACTTTTTATGTATGCATTTTTATTTAACATGAAAGTAACCACTTTTTCTGGTTTATTTCTGAAATGTCCCTCCAAATCCACATGTGCTCAAAGGTGAGGATTTGGAATGTGATTGGATTATGAGGGTGCTACAGATGACTCACTGTCAGGAGGTAGGTTTTGGTTAGAGGGGAGTCTTTGGGGACATGACCTGGAAGGGTGTATCTTCCTCCTTGACTTCTCCCTTTCCTCTATGCTTCCTGGCAGCCATGACATGAGCAGCTTTATTCTGCCCAGGCTTTTCCACCATGCTACTTCTGCCTGGAGCCAACCAACCACACAAGGACTGAAACTTTAGAAACTGTGAACCAAAATAAACCTCTTTCCCTTTAAGTTGTGGGTTGGATACTGTGGCTCAGCAAGGAGAAAGTGACTAAGACACTACTATAAAAGATAAGCAAACAATGTAAATTTTTTCCAAAGTAAGATTACTTAGTATTTTTGGTACAAAACCAAAACTTTTACAATGAATTAGATTTTATACCTGACTCTATAGAATTGTGTATCCAAAATGTTGCTATGAAAACTTCACTGGTGATGTCTAACTTATGTTTATCAAGTGGTTAAAAGTAATATCAACCAGTTGATTTATAAGCATCTTTGTCATTTGGCACTAATAACAAATTCAAGGAAGGAGGAAAATATTACATTCAATTAGTTCAGAATTAGGACATTTTCCCCACTGCTTGAATTTAAATTATTAAAAGAAGAGAAGAAAACAGAGGAAAGGAACAAAAGGGAGAAAAAAAAAGAAAGTTTCTTTTCCACCACTTTCATGTCCTCACCAGAGCACATAGAAGGTCAACTGCTTCCAAGATCAGTTCCTGATGCCCGATGCGGCTGACTCCCAGATCTTCTAGTTCCTGATGGGTAATGCGCAACAGCTGGTCCCCACTGATCTTCTCCCTCTCGAAGTTCTTAATATACTGCTGCAAACAGTCATCAAGACCTACAAAGTGAAAGTATTGGAAACTAGAATGAAAAAGCAGTTGAGCCAAATAAACATGGAAGGGTATGCTGCCTCCAGTCATTCTTGACTTCGGACTAGTCCACCTTCTCTCAATGTACATGTGAGCTTGCAGAAAAAAATAACTTCATCATATTTCTGGTAGTAAAGTTCCTAACTCAATTTTCCTCAGAAATTATTGAAAATCTTTATCTCTATTCTCAGCAGTTCTGACGAAACAAGTTATCAGAATGCTAAATCATAAAGTATGCTAACAGATTCCCCAACTTTCAAAGCTATCTGCAACAAACACTCTTTACTATAACCCCTCTTCAGAGAAATTTTCTTACTATACAAGGTTAACTATCTTTCTGTACTCTAGAATTCCATCTTTTAGCATCTTAATGCTGTTTCAATAATTTTAAAAATTTCTGTGCTCCATTTGATTCAACTGTTTTGAATTCATCTACTCCTTTTATATTGAGACCTCTGCTATCTTAAAAAACAAAACATATAAAAATCTGTCTTTGGCTTCCTTGATTCTGTGTTCTTCATCCATCATTCGCTTCAGACTCAATCCCCTTAGTCTTTATTTACTCACCTGTGATGTATTCCTTAAATCTATTATTACTTGGGTTCTACTCAAATCCAAAAGTAGGTATCAATATTAATAATGGATTTTATATTAAAACAATCTTTTTCAAGATTACACAAACTCATAAATGATTGGCTAGGCTACAGACTAAGTTAGCTTCAATCACCTACGAAATGGCCTGGAATATGTAATGAACCAGACTAATAAGATTTACTCTAGAATTTTATTTAAAGAATACCAAGAAAATGAAGCAATCAGCATAAACTAACTGGTCTTAATTATATCAAGGATGGAGAAACGAGGCCATAATGTGCCATGTTCTAGTTAAAATTATAAGGGAGTAGAACTTATAAGCAAGTAAAAAAATAAGGGGTTAGAATAGTTGTGTCAAGGAAACAAAGTCATATAACAGAGTTGAGGACTTGTCAAAGCAGCCAGGCTACATAAGAGACAAGGCCAGTAAGAGGACACCTGAAGAATACATGAACCAAAGATTTGTTTTTCTTTAAGATGCTAAACATATTTAAGTGTACAAAAACATCAAAACCCCATATGTATATCTATGAAGGAGGAAAGGAGAAGGTGGGTACAGATACAGGTAGATTATTATTGTAAGATGAGGGCCTTTCATCTAGTTTATGGACCTGTGTGAGTGTGTGAAGGTTCTATGAAATATTTATAAAGGAAGGAAGGAAGGGAAAAGAGGAAAGGAAGGAAGGAAGGAAAGACAGGCATGTAGACTAGTAACATTACAAATGCATGTTGAATACCTGAATAGAATCAGTACTATTAGTGTCATGGAACAAAGCAGGATTTTAATTTTAAAGAAAAACTCTGAGGTCACAAACAAGGAAAAAGATGAGGAAACATGTGTCAGACACGTCCTAAATGCTAGGGATACAAAAGTAAATATGACACAAACCTCAAGGAATGCACTACTTGGAGGTTATGACTGGGGTTACTCAAAAAAGTAATTACAATTTGATGGATTAAAGAAAGTAGTGGCCATAGTAAAAACACAAATAGACGGAATCATCTAGGAAGTATATATATGGTGAAAGATATAGTGGGCCCCAACAGTTGAGAGATGGCCAGAGAAAGAGACAACCAAAAAGAGAACAGAAATAGATCGGAAGAGGACTAAGGTAATAAGGTAGTTATGACAGACAAGTGCTAAATGCAACACAACACCCCAATAAGGGTAAGACTAAATTCACTCTAAATTTGGCAGTTAGGGGTTTATCAGTGATTTTATCCAGAACAGTATTAGAATACAGAGAATAGAAGCCAGATAGTATATAGGGCTGTGTAGCAATTGAGAAATTAGAAAGTAAAGGCCTTGTATATAGAATATTCATTCAGACGATTATACATGGTATTGGTAAGGATGAGGAATAAATAGAGAAGTATCAATGGAGTCAAAGGGACTATTCGAAAAGTAGCAAAGATGAAGAAACAAGAACAAGAAATTAGGTAACTTCCTGAATGTACACAGTAAGTGATTGGCAAAGGATTAAATATAGTCCCAGAGGATTTAAAGTTTAATTTGTTTTGACTATATGAGCCCATCTCAACAATTAAAAAAACCATCACAACAATAAAGCAGATTTACACTCTGCAACTGAAGATAGAAACATATAGTTAGTTACTAAAGTGAAGAAGGGATAACATCAGGCAGTGGTTATTAAATCATATTCTTCCATGCCTGTTTTTAAAAAATTACTTAAAACTACCAAGAACTAAATTTTATGCTAATATACTCTGATGAATTAAATACAGTGCAGAGTACAATGATGGCATTAAATCTGAAGCTGCACTCAAATGAATGGAAGGTAAAGCATTGTAAATAGTGTTTAGGTAACACTGAAACCAATATGATACATGCTGACCTAAGAAACTACTTTTCAAGTTATTCAATATCATCCTTTACAGTTTCTCTCCTAAAAGCAAGTATTTGCTCTATAACAAGTAGATATGATTTGTTTTCACAAGGATTCTCAAGAAAACCAATAAAATAGAAAAAGGAAGGACAATTTGCTTCTTGGTCTGTTCTCAAATACTCTGTCCGAATTTATTTTAGAAAAGGCTAAGCTTATAACAGTTTTGTTACATCCAAAAGGAAGAGCTGATGAAAGAGTACCTTCCACTTATTTTTCAGCTCCTTGTGTCTCAAGCACTATAAAACCACTTTACAAATATTTTCTCATTTAATCATTGCATATAATTATCTTTTATCTAGTTAAATATTTTATTTTTAAATTTCATTAGTACATTTAATGTCTACAATATAATGACATTCATTGTTGGAAATTTGTACTTTTACATAATCAACCTTGGTTCTTATTTTTTCCGTTCCCGTCCTCTCTTCATCCACTCCCTATCTACAGAGGCTTTGCTTCCATTACTTTTCATTTTTTCATATTAATTCCATTCCCTTGTTTCCCCCTACCTCTCATTTCCCCTTTCTTTGTCCCTTTTCTTCCTATTTTACATTATTACACTTTTTAGTCCTTATTTTCACTTTCAATTTCTCACACTAAAGAAACTATTTGTGTAAAACAAGTGTCCTATTTATATCAATTAAGGGTATCGCCTCAATGTGCATCCATTTAGCTATAAATATCACTAATTTCTCATTTTTTATGGCTGAGTAGTGTTCCATTTTATAAAAAAAAAAAACCTCATTTTATATAGTCTCTCGTTCATGGGCATTTCGGCAGCTTCCAAGTTTTAGCATTACAAATTGTGCTGTTATGAACATGGGTGCACATATATCACTATGATACGATTCTTTTAGTTCTTTAGGGAAGATACCCAGCAAGGGAATAGCTGGGTCAAACGAGACTGCCAATCCTAGATCTTTGAGGTATCTCCATACTGATTTCCACAGTGGTTACACCAGTCTGCACTCCCACCAACAGTGGAGCAGTGTTCCGATTTCCCCACAGCCACACCAGCAACTGTTATTAGTTGATTTTGTGACAGGAATGAGGTGGAATCTAAGCAATGTTTTCATTTGCATTTCTCGAATGACCAATGATGTTGAACCTTTTTTTATGTTTACTTGTTGTTTCTACTTCTTTATCTGAGACGCGTTCATTTCAGATGCCAATTTTTGAATTGGGTCTTTAAATTTGGGAGGTCTGATTTAAGTTCTTTATATATTCTAGATAGACATTTGTCTGAGGAACAGCTGGTGAAAAGTTTTTCCCACATTCTGGGTTGTCTCTTCACACTGTTTGTCATTTCTCTTGCTGTGCAGAGCCTTTTTAATAAGAAGACATCCCACTTGTTGATTGCTTGTGCTAGGTCACGGGCAACTGAGGTTGTGTCCATAAAATCTTTTCCTACACCAAGTTCTTCAAGAGTTCTACTTAACCTCTCATCCAGCCGGTTGTTTCTATTTTAATATTTAGATTTTTAATTCATTTTCATTTTAGTTTAGTGCATGCTGAGAGATACAGACCTAGTTTTAATCTTTAGCAAGTTGAAACCCAGTGAAAGAGGCTATCTTTCCTCCTGTGAGGGTGTTTAGCTCTTTTGTCAAATATGAGGTGGCTGAGTATGTCTGGACTTGTTTCTGCATCTTCTAATCTGATCCACTGGTCTTCAGGCCTGTTTCTTTGCCAGTACCATGCTGTTAAATCACAATAGCTTTGTAATATATTTTCAAATTGGGGATCATGATACCCCCTAACTTATTTTTATTGACTAAAATAGCTTTTGCTATTATAGGTCTCTTCTTGTTCTAAATGAATTTTTGGATTGTTTTCTCAAGGTCTACAAAGTACACTGCTGGGATTTCCATTGGGATTGCATTGAATCTATATAGCAATTTTGGAAGTACGGCCATTTCATGTATATTGATTCTTCCTACCCAGGAGCAAGAGGTGTCTTTCAATTTCTGATATCCTCTTCAATTTTTGTATTCAGAGTACTGTAGTTTTCAGAGTAGAAGTCTTTAATTTATTTTGTTCAGTTGATTCCTAGGTATTTTCAATGTTTTGGATGCCATTGTGAAAGGAACTGATTGTCCCATTTCTCTCTCAGTCTGTTTTCCATGTACAGAATAGCTATTCATTTTTTTGTGTTAACCTTGTATCCAGCTACTTTACTGAATTTAATTATTAAGTCTAAGAAGACTTTTGGTGGAGTTCTTGGGGTCTTCTATATAGAGTATCATGCCATCCGCAAATAATGACAATTTGACTTCCTTTCCTATTTTTATTCTTTTTCTTTCTCTTGTCTAACTGCTATGGCTAATGTTTCCAAAACTATATTGAATAGGAGTGGTGATAATGGACATACTTGTCTTGTTCCTGATTTTAGTGTGAAGGATCTCAGTTTTTAACCATTTTGGATGATATTGGCTGTTGGTTTTTCATAGATGGCTTTTATCAGATTAAGG